GAAGACCGAAAAGGGACTTGAGAGCAGCTTTCAAGTATCTAAAAGAGTGTCATAAGGAATAGGAAGAAAAATTGTTCTCCTTGGCCTCTGAGGATAGGACGAGAAGCAATGGGCTTAAATTGCAGCAAGGGAGGTTTAGGTTGGACATTAGGAAAAACTTCCTGCCTGTCGGGGGGGTTGATCACCAGAATAAATTGCCTAGGGAGGTTGTGGAATCTCCAGCACTTAAGATATTTAAGAGCAGGTTAGACAGACACCTGTCAGGGATGAACTAGGGCTACTCAACTTTGGACGCCCTGGGAACCACGCTGATACTCACAGAACATGCTGAGGGCCTCAACTTAGGTATGGTTGCATATACAAGCAAATAGGTTCTCTCACACTGACAGGCATGAATACAAAGATTAAGGCAGGACTGTACCACACGTAGATATTTAAGAGCAGGTTAGACAGACACCTGTCAGGGATGAACTAGGGCTACTCAACTTTGGACGCCCTGGGAACCACGCTGATACTCACAGAACATGCTGAGGGCCTCAACTTAGGTATGGTTGCATATACAAGCAAATAGGTTCTCTCACACTGACAGGCATGAATACAAAGATTAAGGCAGGACTGTACCACACGTAGGCCCTATTTAAGTCAGTTTTGCTGACATTAATAAAATGCAACATTTACCTGATTTCCACTCATGTGACAGCACTTTTCACAGGCAATGACAGTCCAAGAATTTAACTACTAAAACACATCTCAACAGAAGACCATTACATTGACTACTTTTTAGTTTTGGCTCCCATCCCAGCTGCATGTTGATCTCCACATAAACCCAAACCTCACCGTGGGCTGCAAACAAACTGGCCGTGGGCAGCATGAGGCCAATGGGCTATGTGTTAAGTAGCCCTGGGTGCTTGGTCCTGCCGTAAGGGCAGGGGACTGGACTTTATAACCTCTCGAGGCCTATTCCAGCTCTAGTGTTCTGTAATTCTGCATGGGGTTAGATAGGGGCTGGTGCCCCTTAGAAGGGACAGGTCTCCACAGCCCATCCATACCTCCGTGAGCCAGCCTGTGCCCCCTGCCCTGGAACTGAACCGGAGCCAGCGCCCCCTAGAGAGGCCTTGTAGCCTCTTGTGCACCAGTGGGATTTTGGTGCCATGCCCCTCCCTCAAGTGGATCCCTTGAATTGGGGGTCAGGTCAGGCCCTGTTGTCTCCCACACTGTGGGGTCCCAGGGGCCGTGCCCTGTGGTGCCTCTCGGCAGGTGTTGCGGGTGTAAATTGGCTAGGTCTGAAGCATTTCACCACACAGGGCTCAGCAAGCCTGGGGCCGGGGCTGAGCAGATGGGAGAAGCAGGGGCACAGGGTGGCTGCTGGGTATCAGTCTCTGCCCCTTGCTGCCATTAGTTGGGCTGCACCACAGGCCGGTGGGCAGCTCTAGGACTGTCTCCTTTGAGCAGGGGTGGCTGGGTCGCAGCACAAACTAGCCAGGGCCTGATTGCTGAAGACCCCCCATCCCGCAATTGTTCCCCACATTAGCCAGATTACAGCGAGCCGGGTTATGCCAGCCTGTGCTGCAGTCACGACGTCTTCGCTACCTGTGTAAACAGCCCCTGAACCACTGGAAACTGAGCTTCTAGTCCAGCCTGGTCTGTGACCTCAGGCATGTCTCAGCCACCATTGTGCCTCAGTTTTCCCAACTGTAAAATGGGAACAACTCTGGCCTCCTTGGGAAAGCTCTCTGAGTGCTACCAATGGGCGGAGCAAGGGCTGGCGAGGATTAGCCTTGCCTTGGTCACATGGGCTTGGTACAATTCCAGCAGGCGGAAGGTGCTGTCAGTTGCTCAACAGCGCTTTGTGTCCATATGAAATCAAGTGAGGTGGTCCAGTGACAAGCAGTTGAGTAGCTGAAAGTCAGTGGGCAGGGAACCGGGGCAAATTCAGTGTATGGGGAAGAGGGCCCCTCCCCCCCATGCCTCAGCTCCCAGCACTTGCGGGAGGAGTTCACAAATGACAAAGCTCTCCTCGCTTCCCCACGTGTTGTCTCTTGCCTTGGCTGGGCACTGCTCTGGGGCGGGCCCAGCTCTTCTAGCCCAGAATCACAGAAGTGCCCAAAAAGTGGGGTTGGGAGGCACAAGCACCCAGACCCGTGATCCCCCACCCTGCTGTTCTTGCCCCAAGTCCCCACACACACACTGTCCCGTTTCCCCCCAAAATGCTCCTGAGCTACCTCTTCCTCCCAAGACCCACCCCCTACTTGTGCTCTCCGCCTGTCTTTGCCTGCCCTTACATGCCTCTGGCCCCCCACCCCCTGCTCCATGCCCCCTGTCCATGGCCTGCCTGACCAGGGGCTGCTGCTGGAGACTGGCAGGTTTTCTACCAGCTGATACCAGAGCCAGGCACTCCCACAACCAAATCCCCCTCTGTCAGAGCAAAGGGACCCCAGCCCCCCCCTCCCACCAAATCCCCCTTCCTCAGAGCCAAGCAACCCAGTGCCACCCAACCAAATCCCCTTCCAGAGGAGCCAAGCACTGGAGGAATCAGTCGGGTAAGTTTGGGGGACAGACACAAATAACGGAGTTCTGTGCGCTCAATCATGTAAGTAATTTGCACTCAAACCTCCCATTGACTTTAGGAGATCTATATGAGCAACAATTATATGGTTGGAGCCTTAAAGTCATATTACAAGAGTATTTATGCATTTTCTTCCTTGGGAGGCAAACAAAGCAGGAAATGAAATTTTTGGTAACACTGGGGAAAAATGGGGTTTTAGATTTTGATGGCCTAAACAGAAATGGTGGCTGTTTTTGGGCAGGGGGGAGGGGGACGACAGTTTTGGGCTGGGAGTTTGTTTTTGGTTTTGTTTTTTTATTCAGTGATTGAAGCAACAGCTCTTGAGTTTGTGTTGAGGACTGGTAAATTTGAAGTTTTATTATTCTACCTTCTCCTCCTCAGATATTTTAAGAGACACAATCAAGCCTTATAATGTAAGTTTTTCTGTGTGCTATTACAGATGTATGTGAAATAAGCATTAGAAATGTGATGTTTATTACTAGAAAACTTACCTAGCATTGCTCAGGTCCCACAGGCAATGACAGTCCAAGAATTTAACTACTAAAACACATCTCAACAGAAGACCATTACATTGACTACTTTTTAGTTTTGGCTCCCATCCCAGCTGCATGTTGATCTCCACATAAACCCAAACCTCACCGTGGGCTGCAAACAAACTGGCTGGGGGCAGCATGAGGCCAATGGGCTATGTGTTAAGTAGCCCTGGGTGCTTGGTCCTGCCGTAAGGGCAGGGGACTGGACTTTATAACCTCTCGAGGCCTATTCCAGCCCTAGTGTTCTGTAATTCTGCATGGGGTTAGATAGGGGCTGGTGCCCCTTAGAAGGGACAGGTCTCCACAGCCCATCCATACCTCCGTGAGCCAGCCTGTGCCCCCTGCCCTGGAACTGAACCGGAGCCAGCGCCCCCTAGAGAGGCCTTGTAGCCTCTTGTGCACCAGTGGGATTTTGGTGCCATGCCCCTCCCTCAAGTGGATCCCTTGAATTGGGGGTCAGGTCAGGCCCTGTTGTCTCCCACACTGTGGGGTCCCAGGGGCCGTGCCCTGTGGTGCCTCTCGGCAGGTGTTGCGGGGCAAGGGGGATGAATTGGCTAGGGCTGAAGGATTTTCCCCCCA